GAGATAATCTCAAGCAGACTCGATGCTGAGCAGAGAGCCAGACGCGGGTCTAGACCCCCTGATCCTGAGATCATGACCTGAACCGGAACCGAGAGCCAGACACTTAACCGACTGGGCCACCCAGACGCCCCTAAAGGGCCTCACCTTTTCTGCTTTCCTTCTTTTCATCTGTGCATCATTTGGAAAATGCAAAAGCACTGCTCCTGGGGTATGGCACGCTCTCCCTGCAGCCGTTTACCCACGAGCCCACGCTGGCATGCCAAGACCACGGGGTCCCCATCATGAGGGATCTATGTGATGAGCCCTGGGATCTCAGAACCAAGGAAAGTAGGGTTGGGACACCAACAATGCTTATGGGCTCCGATCTGGTCGGCTCTTCTTCCCCTGCATTAGTGCAGGAAACTATGGTAGAGATCATCTAAACAAGCAGATGAGCCTCGAAGCAAATTCACTTTGCCTCTGAACGTGTTCTTTGATTGCCAGGCATTCCTTCTGCGTGAAGCTGTGTTAAGAGGAGCAGAGGGGCAGGGGGTGGAGGGGGCACCGAGGGGGAGAGGCCGGGGCTGGAGGGCGGGCTGGACGTGTGTTGGGATGGCTCCAGGACATACATGGAGACTCACGTCTCCAGTGTGTAGTGGTGATTCTGCTGACTGGTATCAGGTGCGAGTGGACGAGGAGAACTTCCTCCCTGCTCTCAGGTCCTGGCCTGACCACAGACTGAACTGGGCTCCTGGCTATTTCCGGGTAAGCTTGGGTGGAAGGCCCTTCATGACCGCGAGTCCGTAACAGCCTCTTCTGTTAGTAGAAGAGTCTGCAACGGCCTCAGAGAGGGCTGTTCAGGGGGCGAGACCTAGAAGAAGGGTACAGAAAGGGGGGCCTACTGGTTGTTTCCACAGCTTCGCCACTGCCTAGAGATAATCTTATTTTACCAGTCACTAAAGGATTCTAACAAACCTGTTGCTCCAGTTCTTCCGATCACTTTCAAATCTTTGCAAGCACATGGATACTGGAAAAAACGTGTCAGTTATCGTCCTAATCCACTCAACCAGGTTGCGTGCCCAACTGGATCCTGGGCAAGGCAGAGACCTGATGAACCGTTTTCTCGAGTCTGGCCTGTGCACAGCAACCAGGTAGACGGACAGCATTCACTGCACACTTTAAGGGTAGGCCTCTGCCGCGCTGAACAAAAAGAACCAGAGGTTTCATTAAAAGTAAGACCAACCCCGATACCTATTCACAGCAGAGTAGTTTAAAAGGGCCCTGAAGCCAAACTTCCTTGGTTCGAATCCCAGCTCCCACACTTACTAGCTGTGTGATCTTGTGAAATTTGCTTAACTTCTGTGTGCCTCGGTTTCCTCATCTGTAAAAGGGGGCCATCACTCATAACATCCACCTCATGTTGGAAGGATATCAGGAGTTAAAAGGAACTTAGTACAGTGCCTGGTACCTAGAAGGGGCTTTATGAAAGTTTGTTAAAATAGGTGTTTGTAGGTGACGGCACACACGGCTGGGACATACTCAGCACTGTGGGCTTCATGACAAGACGACTGAAGGGTCAGCAGGCCGTTCCATGCTCGCACAGAACACAGCTGATACCAGGGAGCAGGGTACCTTGGGCCTTGTCCACACTTAAAAGGATCAAAAAACATCATCTGAAACCTAATGGTAGCAGTGAGAATACTGGTAAGCTGCTAAGTGTTAAGATATTTTTGGGGGGAGTCTGGGCTTCCATGGTGCTTGTGACATGTGGATTGTTCTTTTCACCAATGTCCCTTTTCAGTGAGTGGGTCCCAGGCTCCATCAAATCACCCAGCACCAGACGCTGTCTGTCGTGTGGGTTAGGCCGAACTCAATAGACAGGAATGATCAAAACCCTGAGCAGGAGG